CCATGGTTTGGTGGCTACAACACAGTCCTCTCCCCTTCCTCTGCCCAGGCCACCCTGTTTCAGTTTGCCTTTGCTCTGACTTAACTAGCTGCTCCCTTCCCTGTCTTCCCCTTCTCTGGTCTGATCCGGTCTGATCTGGTCTCCCCGCCCTTCATCTTGTCTCCCCTCCCGTCGTTTGGTTTGGCCTCATGTTGTCTATCTCCCCTCATCTTCACAGAATGGTTAAGGTTGGAAGGGACCTCTAGAGATCATTTAGTCCAGCCCCCCCGCTCTAGCATGGACACCCAGAGCACGGGGCACAGGGTGGCACCTAGGCGGGTGTTGAAGACCTCCAGAGTAGGAGACTCCACAACCTCCCTGGGCAGCCTGTTCCACTGCTCTGTCACCCTCACAGTGGAGAAGTTCTTCCTCACATGCAGCTGGAACTGCCTGGGTTTCAACTTACATCCCTTGTCCCTTGTGCTATCACTGGCCACCACTGGGAAGAGTTTGGCCCCTTCCTACATTAACCCTTCAGGTCTTGTCTCATCTCTGCTCATTTTACCTCCCCTCATTTCATCTCCCCCCATCTCAACCCTTGTCTCCTTGCCCTCCCTTGCCCTCTTTCTGACTGGCTCTGACCATCCTCTGGGGCAAGGAGAGGGCAGGTGAACCAGGACCAGAGGAGAGTGTCAGACTGCCAGCCCGTGGCCTCTATGCACCAGGACATGAGCACCTTGTGTTGATGCCCATGCTGGCAGATGAAGGGTCTCTTCAGGTGCCGACAGCACTGGAAAGCTGCAAGAAAGGGGACACTGTGCCTTTTTGTGTCGGAGAGGGACACTGAGCAACACCCTGTGCAGCTCCCACTCCAGAGCCCTGATGGAGTGGCCAGTTGGGCCAGTGGCTGCATTGCAGGGGCCACTGCAGCATGAAGCCCCAGTGAAAGCATTGTGTAAAAGAGTGAAATTCCACATCTGATCTTGCCTGGCCCTCTGGAGCCCAGAAAACAGCTTGGGGTTGACCCCCCCACACCCCTCCTTGACACAGTGAACAAGGAGAGTCACGCTGCCCGTTTAACCCGTGGGGCCTGCAAAGGGCAGCCTCCCATGGCCTCTCCTTCGGGGTGGTCACAAGACTTGAGTGATCAAAAGGCGCATTTATCCTGGCCCCAAACATTGGGTTTGGAATGCAAAAAAGCATCAAAGCGTCTGGAACTAGGATCCGTAGGATTCGGCACAGGAAGACCAGGACCCTGAGGCAGCGTTCTCCTCCCCACATGGTCCCGTGCCACCCCCAATCTTGCCCTCTGTGCCCAAAAGGGACAATCTCATCCCTGTGCCCCAGAAGCTCACTAAATCCGTCAGGAATTGGTTTCTTCTCACTTTATGAAAAAAAGAAAAAGAAAAAATAAAAGAAAAAATAAAATGAGTTAAATTGGCAGTTCCTGCTGTTCCTCCACCGCCTTAGCTTCCCCTTTGGCCAGCATGGTCACTGACCTCATCAATTCCCAGCAATGGGGCTAAGCCACCAGGGACCTGCCGGGAATTGGGGATGGATGGATGGCGCTCTGGCCCCGGAGAGGGTGGGAAAAGACCAGGAGGAGAGGAATGAGGAGGAGAAAGAGGATGAGAACAGCTCCCGCAGGACATGGTCCAGCATGGGGGTGATCTAAGCGCCTTCGGATCCCAAAGGACTTCCTCGTCCCCAACCCAGTGGTGCGTGGGAGGAAGGGGACGGTGACGACCGCTTGGGCTGCAAGCACAGGGGAGGCTGCCGCTTCCTGAAACCGGACCTGCATCCGCAGCCAGCGCCGCTGCCGCCTTGGCCAGGGCTCTTATTTCCCGCTTCCTGAGCAGCAGGCAGCTGTAACCCCACTGGAAAAAAAACATGTTTTTTTGACCCTTTCCTCTCCTTTCACCCATGTTCGCCATCATGGAGCACTGGGCACCTTGACAAGGGGGACCTGGGCCAGCCTGTGACCTTGTGCCCAGGTCCAGACCATGGCGGGGGTGCTGAACAGGACAGGATGGGACTGTGTGTGTGCGCACAGGCAGGAGGTTATGGGGCCTGGGGGGCGCGGGGGCGCCCTGTGGGTCACTGCGAGGGGGAGGACATGGATGTGATGTGCACACGCGTGTGCAGGAATCTGCACAGATGGCCCCGTTTCCTAGCGGGTCTCTGCAGTGGGGAGGGTTGTTG